TGTAATCTCTCTAAAATCTCTTTGTAGAAACCCTAAGACTTGAAACCGCCATTGATAAGGCGTGTGTAGCTCGAGTCTCCCACGAGAAGTACCAGTCGCTGGCTGAGAACTCGTTACATCGTCGTGTTCTTTACTTTTGTGCTCAATCCGATCCTACACACAAAGAACAAGCAAATTGACTAGGTTTCTTATTCCGCAAGTTAAAACTCTACATAAAACACTGTCAAGAAAATATTTCCTTTCTCTTCTTGTCTTCTCACAATCCTAACTATCAGGTCATTGTTTGGAATTTTATTTAATTTCTCTGTAATTTTCGATTGATGGATTGTATATAAAAAATGTACTGGTTTGAAAAACTTTTAAACAAAATAGGTGAAGATCAACAACATAAACACAAATTTTTGCAAAAATTTCGACGGAAATCAAAGAGAAGCTTATGCAATTTTACAACTTATATGATATAATTATTGGAGACATGCGTTTTATTTTCTTTGGTTTATCAACAAACTGGAGAAACTAAACCAAGTCAACAATAAAAACAAATTGGTTATTAACGGAGGCGCGTGATTGGCTTTATAAAGGACCATCTTCGATTTCACTAACGACTCTAAAGCCTTAAAACCCAAATCCGCAGAGATGAGAGATCGGCTTATGGGGTATTTGGAATCTTTGATCAGTTACAAGCTTGAAATTGTTCAGGATTCGCATTTGTTGTTGTCAGGCTTGGCATAAAAACTCTTGACAGTGAAGAATGTATGTGACAGTGATGTGTCTTCAATGTAGAGAGCATCAGTTTCTGTGGAATGTCTGTGATGTGTTCTTTTCACAGACATTCTTCTTGTGAAAATGCTCTCTACTTAGCCCAACACTTCCATAGAAACTGATGCATATTTGATCCAACAAATATCCAGATTGTGCAGATAAAAGCGAAGAGAAAGTCAAAGAGTTTGGATTGTATCAAGGACAAGGTGAGTTATCAGTGTTGTGTGAGATTTCTTATGGTTTTGTGAAGAGAAAATCATAACTTGTGTTGTGTTGTTTCCGTGTGTAGGAAAGCTTTAGCCAATGCTTAGTGGTTGTTAAAGAAATCTTTGCTAAAAAAGCGATAGCATCTAATCCCTACAAAGCTGGACATTTCAAACTTAATTGGAAGATCGATGAAGATACGATAAGCCTCCTTAACTCCTTTACTCGTGTGTCTACTAAACTTGCGCTAGCTGAGACCAGGATGCGCCACACTGGCGATCAGATAAGAATCTTCGCTGAACAGATCAATCTACTCGGTGAAGAACAGCCACCGCTTGCTGAGCATGGTGAGGACATAACGACGATGAACGCCATGCTAATAAGCAAAGATCATATAGCCTAATTGACTACAAGTTGAACAGTTTGAGGCAATAAAAGGGAGAATTGTCGATTTGATATTCCGCAGGGAAAATACCCCCTGAACAGACCCAAATGGATTTGAGTATGAGGAACATTCGTCAAGTCTTGTTCAAGTATGCGAAACATTGATATTTCGTTAATTATAATAAAACTGTGTAATTTTCCAGCATGAGTATGCTGAGAATGTAGGTGTTTGTAG